CAAATAAAAAAATTTTTGTTTTTTTTGAAATATGATTTTTTTCTTCACTTGAATAACATTAGATAAAGCATTTTCTGTCATCATTAATGTAAATGGTAATAATTGTTTTCGAATATATATCTGTTGAATTTGTTTTGATGTTTCTGTCCATATATTTTCAAATATATCAGCAATAAAATCTTCAGTATCATCATTTTCTAATAATGATAACCAATCTGTTTCATTAAACTTTCCTGGAACAATTTCTAATACATTTGTTGGTTGTTTTTCACTTTTTGCTTGATCTTTTCCAGGTACTTTTAGACTTGATTTAGCTGCTTGACGTCCTTGTTTAGAACCAGTACGTGTTGTCATTGTTTTTTTACAGATTAATACTTTCAGCTAATTATCTGGAATATTTGATAATTATATCGATATATTCTCTCGCACAGCCACTAATAATAAACTTTCCTTGGCAACGTTTAGTTTCTATATTGAATTTCAAATACGACATCTTTAAAATTACAATAGATGGATGCAGATATTTAAATGTCAAAGTTTACAAAATTTATTATTTATATAAAAAACTTAACAATAAATCCATTCAGGATGATTTTTTGGTCGACATTGTTTTGGACATTCTCCAAATGGTAATTTTCCATGACCACAACATGTTCGTACACAACCTACAAAACAATTCGTTTCATTAGCTGATGGTCGTTGTGTTGGAAATGGTTCTGTTTTATGTCCAAAATCATTCATACAAAAGAAACTATCATGAACAAGTAGACTTGATGTTGCAAATGGCCAAATATGAGAAGAAAGAAATCCTTGATCAGCACGACCAGTATAATGTTTAATTAAATCTCGATTATGAATTTTATCGAGTATAAAATGAGCTAAATGTCGATTTAATGATGGTCGAAAACCCCATAAACCACCGAGCATATGAAATTTATGTTTAGGATGATCACGCATAGCATGAAATGATTTATTTGTAGCGAGCCATGTGTCAACAGCTTCACGTTCTCGTTTTGTTAATGCAGAATCAAGGTCACGACTTAACACTAAATGAGTAAATTATTTTAGATATTGAAAAATTGTAAATAATTTTTGATTATGTTATACTTACTAATATCAACTAATGGATCACCAGCTGGTATAAAACGCCAAATTTTTGGTGGTATAAATGTTTTATTTTTCATATTACAAAAATCAACATTTAAATGTTCACATTCAATTGGACAAATAGTATCTGTTGTATTTATTGTATTATCATGATAAATACGTAATATAAATCCATCAGAGTACATTATATTAACATCTTTTATAAGAAGTTTAAGATAATGTAGTGTTCGATGGATTTCAAATTTTTTAGCTTCTTTTGGGCCAAAAAGACTGATTGAAATAATACGTTGATGAGGTCCACGTTGTGAACTATAACGACTACAAAAAGATGGATGATGTTCATTTGTTATTAAATGAGAAGACAAATATGGTAATTCAGGTCTTAAACATGTACATTCTGGTCGTTGACGGTAATCGACACTAAATATTTTAGTAGAAACTGGAGTGTAACAAGAAATACGTAACGTAATGTAAAAAATAAAACTTCCTAAAAATCCAGCAAACACAGAAGAAATAAAACGACTATGTCTTGGTATCAATGATAATGATTTCATTGTACAACCACAAAATCAGTTTGTATGTTCGTTTGCGTTATGTTGTTCTTTTGTGTGACTGTATTTGGTTTGTTTTAAATTGAAATACTGTTTGGAGCAAATCTCTTCAAAAAAAAATATTTAAACAAGTACTTTTATCTATTTTGTTCTTTTATTTTACGATCTTTTCGTTTATTAGCTTTTTTTCTTTTGCTTATTCAAATTATTCGAAGCATTATTAGAAAATTAGTTGAACAATAAAGTTAGATTTGTTTATGTATAAATATCAATTTTATGAGATTAAAAGATTTATTTCATATTTGAAATAAGAATTTATTCATATTGAAATAAATCCTGAGATAAACAGGAAGTATTCACAAAATTTTTCATATGAAAGAAATTAATTTTTGTACAAAAAGAACCAAAATTTAATAATTTGATTCTAATTGATTACAAAAAAAAAAAAATTTTATGAACTTTAATTAATGTGAATGTTAACCAAATTGGTTTGAACCAGTTTCATAGAATTATGTTTATGTCTACAGGTAAATTTGTTATCATCAATGATTGTCTTCCTTTCTACGAAAAAACATGACCGAGAGAATATGTTTTTTATTCAAATTTGAAATAGCACCAAACAAATTTTCTCCAAGACATTATAAATAACTGCTCAAGATAACTGTTCCATGAGTTGCCTAATTCGAGTTCGAATATATTAAATGGAGAGCTAACTGTTTTTTATTACTTCGAAAATAAATGGAAAAAACCGGCTTCCATATTGAAATAGCAAAAAAAAGCAAAGGAGAAATTTTATATAAATTATAATTTATAAATTCGAAAGCACATCCATGTCAAAGTAGAATAAAAGCAAACGATAAAAATTATTCTGAATTACAATGATGAGTCTTATGCAAACTATTCTCATCTGAGATGCTAGAATCAAAGAATCAGATGCTATGAGCATCACCTGTAATACTAGAAACATCATATTTTTGACACGGTGAGATTCACATGAGAGACTACAAGGATCACCTCGGATGCTTCAGTGACCGTTTGGAATACTTCAGGAAGCATTTTCCTATCGCCTTCCGTAGCATACACTGGTTACATGTGTGCGAATGAAAAATAATGCTAATGTGATGCTAACA